CCTTTCAATTGTATTTGTTCGGGTAGAAAGTTTGTAAAAGAATTAGGACTGTTATTCGGATAAAAATTAAAAGAAGCGTTGGAAACTGACTCAATAGTAAAAGAATCCATGACAACTGATTGATAGAGATTTAGTTTAAAAAATGATTTACCTTTAATCTGAATACTTTCTTAGCTTTTTTTCATAAAATTTTCCCAGAATTTTTCTTTGTCGAGATCTTTGATGATGTATGTAGGAGGCTTTTTAGTAGATATTGCCGAAGTTTCAAAAATTTCATCTGTAAATTGTGGTTTGTATCCTTTTCGGAATGGAATATCATTCTTTGAAATTATCACTCTGTCTCCAACTTTGAATTTTAGTTTCTTATACCTTGTCAGAGGTTTATTGTACAGAATTGAGAGAAAATCAGTATTCTGGACATCTCTAGGTGATTTCCCAAAAGATCTATTGATGCGACAGTTCATTGTAGGCACAAATTGCGGCAACTTGTGAATGAATTTTTCACCATGATCTTCTATGTAGCAGTAAATAATGTGTTTCAATGATTGAATGGCTCTCTGCAAATGCAGCTTTTGTTTCACTCATTGTCGAGTAACCTTCAATGGTTTTTTCCTTGCAAAAGTTTTTGAAATTTCCCCCATATTCTGTTCCTATATCAACCCAAAGCTTGTCAGGAGTGTTTTTTCGAGAAATCATTTTTTTGAAAGCTTGCAAAGTGTCTTTGGCATATTTAGTTTTTATTGTTTGAACTCTGACAAATCGCGAGAATACATCAACAGCAACCAATAAATATTGTGATAAATATTGTATACGATTTCTTGGTTTGTAAAAATTGTTCTACTTTTTTTGACAATCCGCTTGCTTTACTCAAGTTTTGCACAGAACCGTACGCAGCTCTACCACTAGAATACAATCTCTTCAGACTTACCTTTTCAGAGTTTGAAAGGGATCTAAGTTCCTCTGTCTTTCGCTGTAGCATTTTTGTGGAGTTTGAGTTGCTTCCAAAATGGTTAAGTAAATCTCGGGAAAGGTACTATTTTTTTGCTTTAGTGCACACACAAAGTCTACAATTGATTCTTTTTTGTCTCCATTATCTAATATGATTTTTTCTAACTGACTTAGTCTAATTCTAGGAGAATTCAAAATTAAATCAATAAGGTGCTTATTGTTACTCGTTTTCAACTTTGCATTTACAGCACTGTAAACTGAATCAAAGTCTTTTGGTACAACCTCCTCTTTTTCTTGCTTTTGTTCCAATTTTGGCTTCTTTGGAAGTGTACTTTGTGATTGATAAATTGAGTAAGGAAGTAGTATAAACTGATCAATCGTTTAATGACAAAAGGAGTGATAACAGATATTAATTGTAAGGCTTTTGGCGAGCTTAAAATAGTTCTCCTTTTATGCAGTGAAGTTCTTCTTCGTGTGAGTTCTGATATTTCTCTTTGATATTTCATTACGTCTACTTTTCGGAGATCCTTTAGCTCGCCTCGTAGCAAGTTTACTAGACATTCGCTGAGGAGTTGAATGAAACTTTTTGGACAATGGAGGATGAATTGTTTTTGAAGTTTTGGAAAAAATATTTGAAGTATTGGGAGTATAGAGGCGTATTGTATGCTCAACATCCAAAAAGTTTCTTTCTGTTCCTGCTGATAGATAAAACCTTGATGAAACTGAAACACTGTTGTGCAATATCTTAGCGAATCAACTGTTTTTGGAGTTAAATCAATGAGTAAATGACCATAAGGAGTAGATGTTGCATCTTGATACCACTCTTTCATTTGTGATCCTAGACCTATTTGTTGACATAATGTATTGATTTGTAAAACATCTCTCGGTGACTTGAACAAGACTATTTGTGTATTTTGTAATTCAACATCTCTTCTCAATTTGCTTTGATGAAACAAGTTATCCTTAATATATATTGTATTCAGTCCCCTGGGTCTTCCAGCAGTAGCAAATTTTACAAACTGCTTAGAATTTGAAAATTCTCTACAAGAGTCATCAAATATTAACAGAAATTTTTTTCGATTATTGGGAAGGTTTTCAATCAGTTCAAAGTCAACTCCTTGGATAAAATTAAGGTTTTTTCTTTGCATTTGTCCATAAAGAGGTTGATAATGTTGAAAAAAATTAAAATTTTTTCAAATTTTGGTTGAAATGTACCAATTTTTAACCAATCAGAAATAAGATGCAATTTTTCAGATCCACTCAGTCCAACTAGCGAAACAAAAACTCGTTTTTTGGTAAAAATGGTTTTATTCATAGCTTTGGAGAAAGTAAAATATAACCGAATGTACTTGATAAAAATGCTACCCAAACTGTTGTTTCTTCACATGTAGTGGATAACATTATTCAAACGATTGCACATGCTAGTATGAAAACTATGACAAAAAATTGGCACATAAAAACTAAAAGAGATCTATGACTCGTACGTCCAAAAAACTTCCATGATTTTCGTTCATGATTCTCCTCATCAAAAACAAAATTTCCTATATTTAATTGCTTGTCACATTCATCTTCCATTTCAACTTTGGAATGAAAAAATTGATAAAGATTAATATTTAAATTTCAAAAACACGATAATACAAAATTATTTAGATTATTTACAATTTATTAAAAAATCATTGAGTCCATTTTCTGTAAGCAAATGCTTTTCTCTCTGCACAGTGAAGAGTATTTGCATGACGAAATGGGTAGTTGCTACACCTCCAATCAAATTCTTCATCTTAGAAAATGAAATTTTGAACTTTTGGGCATGCGTAGTCATCCAAGTTTGTAACCTTTGTTTCCAAAATTTCTGACAGAATTTTACATTTTTAATAACCTTTTGCAAAAATCTCCATTTCTGGAGCTTTCAATTTTTTCAATATTTTTTCAAGCTCAGTATATTTTTCATAGCCACTGTTGCAATTTGTTCTATGAAGATGCTTTGTACACCAAGCAGACTGAAATGTAGCTTTGAAGTTTTTGGGAGGAAGAAAGGAATATCCCACAGTTTATCCTTTTTTATAAACTCCTAATTCTTTCACTATTTTGTTTTCATCACACTCAATATCCAAAACAACTAGACTCATTTTATTAGCTGTTTTCGCTGAACTTTTTGGTTAAAATGACTAACAATTGAACAATGCATATACTGCTGAAGCAAAATTTTTAACATATAAACAGAGAACAATCTAGTCACGTGACCAAGAAAACAAGAATTTGGAAATATAGGTAAAATATAACAATAACCAGGTCTCTTATAAGTAGTAGACTTCACAGATCCAGCTGCATCATTTTTAATTGCATGAAGTCTAAAAATTTTTGAATTTGCAAAAAAAATAATCCATAAAGGATTCATCGTATCCAATTAGAACCCCAAAAGAAAAGTTTTGGTCCATTTCTTTCAAATTTATGTTTGGGTCCAAAACAATACAGGTACAAAGAAAATAATTTTTTCTTTTTGTATTTGATGAAAAGTCTTACTTAATCAAATCAAAATTTCTCAGAATTTCATTCAATTTCTGAACGTTCATTTTCTACAGTGCATTCGTCAATAATGATACAAGTTTTTTTGATTGTTTCTACATAAGACAAAACCGAGGGGATGAAAACAACCAATTTGTCATACTCTTCTCTTTCCAACTGAAATTTCGGATTGTTTTTCCAAGTGTTTATTTTTCTACGACCCTATAAGATCTATTTTTTACTCTCTGAACGATAACTTAGAAAAACTTTTCGTCTTCCATTATGCAAAGTCTTTTCAAATTGAAAAATTTGTGATTTTGTATCCAAATCTTGCAATTTTGGTACGTTTTGAGATTCCAAAACTGTCAGTGAACATTTTTGCGACTTTTCTTCTAGGACGATATGAAAAAGTCTTAATTTATTTTGAAGCTTTAAAACAAGATTTCTGGAAAAAACAATGTTTCAATTTATACTGCTCAGCTCAAAGAAATTTAAAAAAATGATTCAAGAAGATGAATATTTGAATTACATTACTATGATAACATTAGTCAACAAAATTATTGAACATTACAGTTCTCAACAAACATAAAATCTCCCAAGACTTGGGCGAGTTCTTTGAATTCGTTCAAAGTATAGTTGACATAGGCAACTTGCTTCAAGACTTCGTTCTCCTTTGCAGTGAAAAGTGGAATCTGAATGTAGGGTGGTTTTTTCACACCGTACTTATTGATTGTGACACAAACCTTTCTCTTCTTGTATATTGCTACGTCATACACCGCATGACAGTTCCTAAACATGGTTGAGTCTTTGTCAGAATAGGGTTCCAATACAGGAACGATTCCAAGGTTTTCAGCATCGTGAATAACAGTATTCCGTATTGCTGATATCCTTTCCCTTTTTTTTACCAAGATAGACTTGCTGGGTTTTTTGGATTTGTCCCGATTCATTTTTCTTTAGCAATTGGAAGCAAGGTTCAAAGTAAACTTTTCCGTTGTAGGGTTTTTGGGACCAAGAAAATCTCCCAATTCTTTTTTGGTTCTTAGCAAATTCAATATAGTTGGGAAGGATATCTTTTTGTGAATTCAGTTTTGATTTGAGACTCAGAGCCAACTGTTCAGTAGTAGATATTTCAAATTTAGGATATTTGTAAATTTAAAGAAATTAAGATGTAGATGACTCACTGTACATTTCAAATAAGGTATTATTAACTTATATGGAATAACGAGTAGGTGATGATCCAAACATGGACATTGCGTAGGTGATGGAAGTACTATATAAGCAATTCAATATAGATAAAAATCATTTTCAACAAGTAATCGGTGATGGCATCTGCTATGTGTCAAGCATATCTCACTTTTTATTCGGACTACAATGAAAAATCTTTTTTTATCTCTGTCTCAGAAAAATTTTATTAAAAATTTATTGTCACCCAAGACTACTGTGTATCTAACCATTCATCATTCTGCCCAGTGGAAAATTGCCAATTTCATTTACTATTAATCGGATCATCGCTCGATCAAATTTTGCAAAGATTAGATAAATATCATTTCACTTATTAAATTGATGACTGTATATATACTTTATACAAATACAGATATTATTCCAGTTCTATTTCATCAAGAGGTGAAGTTTTCAATCAATTGAATCGTGCAGTCGAACACAACTTGAGATGTAGAATACCGGAAAATTACCCAGTTTTGCAAAGAAACTTCTGCTGCGAAAAAAATTCAAAAGACATTGTTTGAGTTCTGCTCAGAAGCTTGCGTCAACTCAGACTCTTGGATCAGCTTTTTTGGAAAAAGTTGGAAAAGTTCCAATCTCAAAGTATGAGACTAATTTGTTGAAAATTGTTGATCGTTTCCTTGATGGCTATGGTACAGTAAATAATGAGCGTGTCAATTTTTCTATTAATAATTGAATATTTGTTTATAAAAATCTTGTCAAAATTGTTTTTTTCTATCAAAATCAAAAAATTTTCAACAAATATATTTGTAATTGTCAACACGTGTGCAAAAATTAAGTTTTGCAAGATGCAAACTTTGATTTGAGTTTTTTGCAAGATGCAAACTTTGATTTGATTTTTTCAACAACTTTGCAAAAATTTAATTAAACTTTTTTACAAGATGCAAAAATTGTTTTGGTTTTTTGAACAAAGTTTTTCAAAAAATTTTTGTGTTATATGCAAAATGTTTTGAGGTTTTTTGGAAAACAAATGCAAAAAATCTAACTTCTTTTTTCCTATGAATATGCGAAAAACGCAAAAAAAAATATTGTAAAAAACTGGTTAAGCACTTGCTGAAAATTTTTCATTATTGATGACTATGAGTACTATTACCTATCTTAATACATTGTTTTTCTGATGGTTTTGATCAACAGACATGCAAAAAATGAATTTTTTATTGATAAAAATCAGAAGAAAAAAAATTCATAAATTTAAATTTTCAACAGTGCAAGAAAACCTTGTTACAGTTTGTTTTTTAAAATGCAAAAATATTCAATGAAATTTTTCCTAAATTGCGAGATTTTTGTTGATTTTTTTAACAAGTATGTACAAAACATTATTGAAAGTTTTTGAATGCTGTAAAAACTTTTCAAAGTTTTTAACTTGTGTGGAAAAATTGAAGCAATTTTTTTATCTTGTGTGCAAAAATGCTGTGAAGTTTTTCACAAATATTGAAATTGATTTAACTCTTTTATCATCTTTACAAAAAAATATTTACCAATTGCAAAACTAAATTGATTTTGAACAAAGTTTTTCAACAAATTTTTAAACAATTTTGCCTTTGCAAATTTTTTAACAAGTTTTTTAATGAGCTTATCTCTTTGTTCCTATCTCTTTATAATAAATAGATGCAAAGAAATTAAATTACAAAAAACAAGACAACAACTTAATTATTTACAAATCAAAGAGCTGTCGGGCAGCTGAGTTCTCAAAATTTTGCAAGTTCTCAATGGAGCGTAAAGCTGGTCTTGCTTCCAACACTGGTGGTTCGCTGACTGGAGTTCTTGGCTCAGAGAACCCCTCATCCTCTTCGATGATTATTGGATTGTCCACAGATGCCTCTTCCCAAGGAAAGAGGAAATTGTCGAATGGTTGAGCCACATATCTAGAGCCAGGAGTTTCGGGGTAGTTCATTGCCACATGCTCGGCCACTTCCTCCATCATTTGCATTTATCCAAGTTGGTTCTCTGTAGGGGGTCTTTGCGTTATATGATGTTCGTTGAAATCCCTGCACATCACCTCCACCATGTGCTAGACTTGGATTGGGATGTCCATTCGTGCCAGAAAACTCCACAATCTGTTTCTCGCACTTGGATTTGTACTAAGTCTGCCGAAAATTCTACCAAGAACATAATGTTGTTGTTTTGCACTGAGAAGATCATTTTGAGCAATAAATTGCGAGGGAAGTTGAAAAAGTAAAAGATTCAGAGTGAGAACAAAATTTAAAGTTGCGAGAGAAGTAATTGACGGTGGTTAAGTTAAAATTAAATTACTTAGAGCTAAGAGAGGAGGTAGTTGACGTAGTTAAGTTAAAAATAAATGATTTTTGAGTTAAGAGAGAGGGGGTATCGTCAATTCGAATGTGTGGGTTTAACCAATCAGAATGTATTTTCCTTATTTGGATTGTAGTCGTGTCCAATCATATTTCAGTTTTCTTTTATGGAACTCAAGTATTAAAGTCGTGTCTAATTGGAAACAAAATTCCATTTTGGTTATTGTCGCTTCCAATCACAAAAATGTTCATTTTTGTTCAAGTTGTCGTATCCAATCAGACAAAAGTTTACATTTTAAGGATTTAAATCTTCCAAATAAGTAAAAATATACACAAAAGCAATCGCAAAAATGGATAATCAAAATTTGTTTGCTGTAAAAGTAAAAAACATTGCCGACATAAGTAACAAAAGAATGAAAATTAATAAAAGTAGCATCTCTACATATCTTCTCATCAATTTAATTAAATTTTTTGTTTGTAATCAATGACGAATTGTTGATTTTTGAGTAGATAGTCAAGTTTTCTTTTTAATGTAGTTTTGAGAGGATAATTCGAAGCTGATGAAACCGAATCCAAACCGAATCAAGCAGGATTTTGAACTTTGAAAATCTTTAAAGAAATGTAAGAAGAGAGAACTTTTCTGGGGAGTTTTGACAAATTTGGGAGTTGGGAAGGGAATAAAAAGAGTCTTTGAAATATTATCGTACAATTTTTGTATTAATTTCAAATTTTCTAAAATAAAAGAAAACGCAGCTCGATATTGAAGGAGATGTGAAAAACAAAGGGAACCTAAGTGTCCAAACTGTCATTTTCATACAAAGAGCAAAGAGGAGATGGATTATCATGTTGCGAAGAAGCATGCTCAACCAAGTTCGAAGAAGTGGACAGTTTGTCTTTCTTGCGAACAAGAGTTCCCTAGTCACTACTCTCTTCAACAACATCGGAGAAACAAACAAGAAACTAAGCAACGGAAGCCCAGTGATACGGTGGTCGAATTGAACAAGGTTTTGGAGGAAGAAGGGGAAGTTGGTGAAAAACTTATGGCGGAACGTGATGCTTGTCGACGTTTTCTGGTGGATACGGAGATGGAAAAGGGGAGACATAAGATTTTTAACTTCCAAATGTCCAAGTTAGATACTAAAATAATCAACGAGAAACTTGAAGAAGTCTTCAACAAGCTCGATTCTGCCGCTAAAATTAACATTGCTCTGGGTTTTGTTCTTCGAAATTTTGAGACTGCTGAATATCGATACTTCTACGCCCATGAAAACAAGACTTTATTCGAAAAATTCCATTTGCTCTGTACAAAAGCAGACTTGATAACAATCCAAGGAAAACTGGAAAAATTTGATATTGTGGAGCAATGTACCCAAGAACGTCAAAACACCAAGAGGCGATTCAAGTTGAATACTAACGTCACAATTTGTGCTGATTTGCTCAAAAACATTTCAATGGGATGTCCGGACTCTGCCTTACCCGAACCTTTACTACGACATACGTAAGTGAATTGCCTTTATGTAACAAAGATAAGGAACCTTACAAAGATCATTTGTGTCTTTTCCGAGAATTAGCCATGTACATGAACGGACATAATGATCTCGAATCTCACACTTCTAGATATTTTACAAAATTTGTATCAAAGCCTGGTTATGATCCTGAAAGTTTTCGTGGAGTTTCTGTAGAAGACTTACTTTTGTCGAGGAAATTGTTCAAAGAAACATCTTTATATACGATTTCGATATCCAAGAAGGATAATATGTAGGAGAGCGAAGTATTGAAAGATTTGATAAACCAGTCAAATTACTGAGATTTAACAACCATTTTATTCATACAAATGATATAGATAGTTTCTTTAAGGGCTTTCGATGCCCTAGCTGTGACACTTTCTTTAATATATCCGACAATTTTAACAATCAACTTCTGAGATGCAAGGAACGAGTGAAACATATTTACCCAAAGAACGTGTATGAGCTTCGAGAAAGCTAGAAGGATTTAGTCTTCCAGTTTCTGAAGACAACAAGCTTTTCAATAATCTCGCAATTTTTGATTTTGAGACGATTTGTGTTCCTACAGAGGAATTAAAAGAGACAAAAACTACTACCTGGATCGGAAAACATGTACCAATTTTAGTCTCTATGTCATCAAATCTGATTGATGAATCCATCTTTTTGTACAACAAGGATCCACAGAACTTGATAATTGATTTTGTAACCAACCTCGAGCTGTTGGCTGAACAAAGTAAGTAGAAGATGAGCAAAAAATTTCAAGATATTGAAGTAGCTGTGAATGAAAGAATGAAAAAGAGAAAAAGATCTTTGGTCAGCTGAACGAACGTGGTAAAAACTATTCAAGTGAAAAATTTGAGTACGAACACGAATGTATTGAAGATTCGGAAGAAGCAGATATGTCAACACAATTCTAACCAATTCAGAAAAATCAGCTCATCGATTTGAAGCAACATCTAGAGAGATATCTAAATATTTTACCTGTTTTTGGATTTAACAGCGGTAGATATGATTTGAATTGGATCAAGTCATACTTAATCCCTTATTTAATTTGCGATAAAGAACAAGAAACATCCGTCATCAAAAAAGCGAATGACTTTATATCTTTCAAGTTTGGAGATGTACAATTTCTCGACATAGTGAACTTTCTGGGTGGGGCAACTACTCTGGACTTTTTTCTCAAAGCCTATAAAGCTAGCGAAAGGAAAGGATTTTTTCCCTATGAGTGGTTTGATAACCCAGACAAACTTGAATTTCCTGAATTGCCACCGCATGAAGCCTTTTCCAGTAAACTTAGAAACAACGATCCTCTAGACAAAGACTTCATTGATTATGAGAAGCTTAGAAAGAGTAGACTTGACGAGCAAAAAGCACTGAAAAAGCTTCACATCAAAACTGTGCCTCCATCCTGTTTTTTTTTTTGGATAATTACAATTACTTGCAAGAGACTTGACAAAAAACTGGTATGACAGTTTTAAAAGACTTTTTGAAATGGTACAACAAAAAGGATGTAGTCCCAACCCTGGAGGCTATGCAAAAAATGATTCAGTTTTATCATAACA